TCACATGCCCATAGTACGCGTATCATTTGTAGTGTGATTTTGTGCCTTTTTGTTATTATTTATAGGATTGATTGAAGCCAATTCTGTTGCAAAATGTGGCCAAGTCTGTAGAATCTGATATAAGGCAAGACCTGGGCTTTCTGTTGCAATTAATTGCCTGTGGCCATATAATTTATAATCCTCACTTAATTTTTGTAATCGTAAACCCTGAAGAATTAATAGTTTTACAGCGTTAAGTTGCCTATCTGGTGGCACAACCGTATTGAATGTACCAATGAAAGCGATGCATAAGCTGTCCACATTAAAACCTTTTGTATGGGCGCCAACCTTATTCCAACCTCTGCCCTCGTAAATAGCTCCATCACCTCCAACAAGATAGTTATAAGCTATATCATCGAATCCGCGAGATTCTATATGAAATGTCTGAATATATCGGACACGAAAAGTACATTCGGCCTTGAAAATAAGGTAATATATTTTATGATTTTTGTTAAATTTGCAGCAAAAACATTATTTTTTGGAACTGAAAGAACAATACTTGAGTTTCACATGGCTCCGTTGCAGTGTGAGCTATTATAACTCGATGAACTGGCAGTGTTAAGTTTATCAAGTCCACATTCGGTGGCTGTGCTATCCATTCACTGCGTGACACTAAACGTAAAACTTGCCCTGTTGCTATCAAGTCTTTGCCTGCAAAAACAAAATTTATAATTTCCTGTAGTGATCACATTCTAATAAATTTATTATTATTAATAAAAATAATAATAATAATAATAATAATAATAATAATAATAATAATAATAATAATAATAATAATTATAATAATAATAAAAATAATATAAAAATTAATAATAATAATAATAATAATAATAATATAAATAATAATAATAATAATAATAATAATAATAATAATAATAATAATAATAATTATAATAATAATAATAATATTAATAATAATAATAATAATTATAATATTAATAATAATAATAATAATAATAATAATAATAATAATAATAACAATAATAATAATAATAATAATAATAATAATATTAAAGTTACGAAGGTATCATATTACACTACCATACTAAAATCACGTTGCACCGCACACGCAACATTATCGTACCTTCATAAATAAAAACTGCGCGTGTATATTAAAAACATCAAATTATGAAATCGAATAAAAGAAGCTTCGATCAATTAAAACGCTGATTCATCGTCTTTTCACCAGACAGAAAGAAAACAAGTGTATCATATAACGGATATTTTCTCAGGAATAAAGAACTGACACAACGGAACGTGCTGGAGTAGTATAAAGAATTTTTTAATATAAATAGCCTGTAATTAAAATTTAGTTTCAGTCTCAATTTTTGTAAGACGAATTTTGAAATAAAATTTAAAAAAATAAAAATAAGTATTTTTTTTAATAAATCCCCGAAACGGATTTATTAACTGGCGCCCAACGCGATTTATAAAGTACGTGTATTGCGAAAATCCGGAGAAATATAATAAAAGGAAAGAAACAATAAAGCGTGCTTTACCGAAACCTACACAGCCGTTACTTCAAAAAATTCTAAAGCTAGATAGCATAGCATAGGAATTTCGCAACAAACCCTTTTTGTATCAAGTTTGTGCCATTAGCAGGACGTCTACAAGCATCAACGTTCACGTCCAAAAATGAACAACACAGCGCGATCTAAGAGAGGAACATCGATTGCACAACGAGACTCCAAGTTAAATCTTAGCATGAAAATATCCGTCTTTTTCCTGTGAGTAGCATTCTTCAAATAAGATATCGCCGGAGGAATTAAGACGAGTAAACTACTTAATTAGTGCAAGTACACTCAAAAGAAATAAAGACAAAAAAAAGAGGATTTGGTGAATAAATAAGTTCAACATAAAAGCTTACCAAAAAAATTAACCAAACTAAAAATTTATAAGCAAATTACAAAAATTAACTAAAATTAAAAATGGAAATAGAACAAATCATAGATCAGCTTAAGCAATTAACTGGAGCCGTAAAAGCTCAAATAGAACTGTCGAAAAAATTAGAAGCCAGATTGGCACAAGTCGAAGCCCAGCAAAAAACCCTTTCATCGGTATCACAAGAGTCACCAGCTAAGTTGATACCACCTAGAAATGAAGCAGACCTGAAAGAAATTTCCCGGCTGCCAGACTGCGTGAAAGAGCTACAAATATTTTATGGGAACGCGGTCCAGTACGTTTCATGGATACATAGCGTGGAGAACATAATACAAGACTACCAACTAGTAAAGGAAAAACCAATTTACAGGGCTATTCTCCAAGCCATAAGAGGTAAAATTAGAGGAAGTGCCGACGCAGCACTTATTTCATACAACATCTTCGATGAAGATTGGACGGAGATAAAGCACTGCCTATCTTTACACTACGCAGGCAAAAGGGACCTGCGTACGTTAGAGCACCAACTCAGTGTATTAACGCAAGGCAGATGTACAGCAAACGAATTCTATGCAAAGGTCAACCACCAATTTTCTTTAATAGTCAACAAGATCAAAGCGGAGAATTACTCCAGAGAGTAATTACAAAGGAACAGAGCACTAGACGTGTTTATCAGAGGACTAAACGTCTATCAGAGGAGAATTGTCCAAATACTTGATGCTTCTGAAACCACAGACACTCCCTGAGGCCTACTCGGCATGTTTAGATCTACAAAACTACAATTACCGAAGTTTTAACATACGCAAAAAAAGTAGCTACCAACCAGTAACCGTTCCAACAAATCAAATTCTTACTTAAGACCACGACAAGAATTGATGACATCGGTTCAACGAATGGCATGTCAGGAACAACCTTTGACACCGCAGCAGAGGAACGAAGCATATAATATGAAGCATGAGAGGTGCCCCCGTCAAGGCCACCAAAACCACTCGAAAAAGTGGACACTTCAATTCAAACGAGACAGGTTAACTATATGAACCGTCCAACAAACAACTATGAGAAAGCTTTCAAAAGGCAATTAAGCTCAAGAAACTTCAACGTTAACAAACATCAGAAATTATTTAACGCTGAAACTTACAGTGAAAATTTGGAAAGCGATGACGAAGAAAACGATTACGAATATCCCGAGTTCGAAGAAGAAGAACATCAACAAGAGGGAACGGAGATAAATTTTATGGCGGAAGCCTCTCGAGTATTCCGTACCTAGAATATCAGGACGTAGATGGGAAGACGTTAAAATTCTTGATTGATACCAGTGCAAATAAAAATTTCGTCAAACCAGAAGTTGCCACAAATGCCAGAACAGTAAATAAGCGTTTCAAAATCAGCTCCGCCGCAGGTGACATTTCGATCACGCACAAAGTGGGAGGACAATTTTTCAAGAGATTTGGTAACAACACTTACCAGAATTTTTTATAATACCACGCTTGAAGACCTTCGACGGAATTATTGGAGACGACACACTAAAAGAAGTTCAGGCAGTAATAAATCGGAAAGACAACATTTTAACAATAAGTCCCAACATCAATATCCCACTTAAAGCTAAAATATCACGTCAAGTGAACAATATAGAAGTAAAAGTAAATCACCTTTCTTCAGCAATCAATGCAAAACTTCGAAAAATTGTGAACGAACACAAAAAAAATATTCGGACCAATCAATGACAAGGAAATTATCGACACAGCGGTGAAAGCAGAAATTAAAACTTCTACCAAGGAGCCTGTATACACGAAATCATACCCTTATCCAGCCAACATGAGGAAAGAGGTAGACGAACAAATAAAACAACTGTTAGAAGATGGAATAATTCGTCTTTCAAAAAGTCCATATAATTCACCTGTATGGGTAGTTGCGAAAAAGCCAGATGCAAATGGATTAAAAAAATACAGACTAGTAATTGACTTCAAGAGGTTGAATGCTGTTACTATACCGGATACTTATCCCATCCCCGATATTTCAAGCACACTGGCAAGCCTTGGCAATTCAAAATACTTCACAACCATCGATCTTACATCAGGTTTCCACCAGATAATGATGAAAAAGGAGGACATACCAAAGACGGCTTTCTCCACCATGAACGGGAAATACGAATTTTTAAGGCTTCCGTTCGGGCTAAGAAATGCCCCTTCAATATTTCGGTGAATGATCGACGACGTCTTGAAAGATCAAATTGGTAAGACCTGTTACGTCTACATCGATGACGTAATAACCTTTGGCAAGACAGAAGAGAAACATCTGAAAAACATCAAAACCATATTCGAAAAGCTCGAAAAAGCAAACCTGAGAGTAAATATCGAGAAAACGAATTTTTTTAAGAAAGAAACAGAGTTCCTAGGCTTTTTAGTAACGAGAGAAGGCTTGAAACCAGATTCAAAGAAAGTTGCGGCTATAAAAAACATAAAACCTCCTGAAAATCTAAAAGATCTTAAGTCATTTCTAGGCTTAACTTCATATTACAGGAAATTTATCCGGGACTTCGCCAAGGTAGCAAAGCCATTAACTAATCTAACCCGAGGAGTCAACGCACAAGTAAAAGCCAGTCAATCAAGGAGAGTAAAAGTATGTTTAAACAGCGAATAACTGCAAGCCTTCAACACCCTAAAAGAACTGCTAACGTCATCCGACATCCTTATATTTATCCTGACTACAGACGCGTCCGACAAGTTAATCGGCGCTGTACTTTCACAAGGCGAAATTGGAAAGGACAAACCTGTGACATATATTTCAAGATCTTTGAACAGCACAGAAGAGAACTATGCTACAAATGAGAAGGAGATGCTCGCAATTGTCTGGGCACTTGACAATTTGCGAAATTGCTTATACGGAGCAAATAAGATCAAAATACTGACGGACCACCAACCGCTTACCTTTTCTTTAGGAAATCGCAACCACAACGCGAAACTCAAAAGATGGAAGGCAAAAATTGAGGAGTACAACTATGAGTTAATTTACAAGCCTGGAAAAACGAACGTGGTCGCTGATGCCTTATCGAGGTTACCAACAGAAGTAAACGCTCTAAGCTCAAGTTCAACAGAATTTGCAAACGAGGCAGAGCGTGGTAGCACAACAGATACAGCAGATAGCCAAAACGATGACAGCATAACGCAAACAGCAAAAATTCCAAAAAATTGGCTCACAACCTTAGAACAAGTATTCAAAGAAAACTTCAGTAAATATAAAGCCCGCATTACACAAAAACTAGTCGAAGACGTGACATTGGAAAACAGGCAATTCGAGTTAATAAAGAAAGAACATAAAAGAGCACATAGAAATGCTGAAGAGAACAAGGCGCAAATACTGGAAAAATTTTACTTCCCACGTATGAGCAGTCTAATTAAAAGGTATCCCAAGAGTTGTGTCATTTGCAACACTAGCAAATACGATAGAAGACCAAAAAAGCCAGAGTTCCAGCAGACATCCATTCCGAAGTACCCGACACAAATACTCCATGTCAACATCATGGAAATACACGGGGAAAAATATATCACATGCATCGACAAATTTTCGAAATTTGTGAAATTTTTTCATATAAAAGACCGTTCTGCTATACATTTGAGAGATAAACTCACCAAAATTCTACACTACTTTACTTTTCCAGAAATGATTGTGATGGACAACGAAAGAAGTTTTGTGAGCTCTCTTATAACCAACTACATAAGAGATTTGGGAATTGAAATATACACCACCCCATCGCAGAAGAGCGAAGTTAACAGAGCCATCGAAAGAGCTCACTCAACAATTGTTGAAATAATAAGATGCCTTCAGAAAGAATACCCAGATATTTCACAAAAAGAAGTGGTGAACATAGCAGTGGACCGCTGTAACAACAGTGTACATTCCATAACGAAAATGAAGCCAAGTGATGTATTTTTCGGAAGATCAGGCAGGGCCGATTATCAGAAACTAATGGAAACTAGAAGAAAAATAAATAACGAAGTATCTGACCGAATAAAGAGGGGTCAAGAAACAAAAAGAATTGCAAGAAATAAAAAACGCGAACCTCCCACAAATTATAAAATTGGATAAGTGATTTACGTACGGGATAAGCAGATAAAAGCAAAACACAAATCAATATTCAAAAAAGAAACCGTATTAAAAAATAATAGAGTTACCGTTACAACGACCTCCGGCAAAAAGATCCACAAATCACTTATTAAAAACATTAACGACTAATCTAATATCTTTTTAGACTTATAATAATCATTAGTACCAATGCATTTCCGAGAATTCATGAATACAAAGGCGCAATAGCAACCATCAGGAGAGGACTTGGGAAAATTATCGATGGAAACTTCAACCTGGTGCACGTTGTAGATCTGACTAACTATGATGAAACGATACAAAAAATAGCCCCATTAATAGAAGAATTAAATTCAACGAACCTGATTAAGCCACAATTTGTTAGCGATTAGTTTTGTTAGCGATGTCATTACTTGTTTTAATTGAAGCTCCACAATTGGAGTTTCAACTAATACAAGTAATGACATCGCTAGCAAAACTCAGAGGAATCAGGCCACGAAGTCAGAGGTCCATTAATTGGATTGGTTCGGCATGGAAATGGCTGGCGGGCTCCCCAGACGCTACAGACTGGAACGAAGCAGTTAACAGCCAGAACCAACTGATAGACAGTAACAACAAACAGTATAAGATCAATCACGACATGATGGAGGTCACAAATGAGATGATCAGAAAGTACAATCAAATCTTCAAAACCTTCAACAGAACGGATCAACAGTTTGGTCAAATCATGTTCAACAAACTGGGTCTCTAAAGAAGCTCTAAACGAAATTGTGCTAGCTGCAGAACTCGCAAAGAAGAACATCATTAATACGAACATACTTAATAAAATAGCAATACGAACTATATTAAAAGAATTGAGTTCCCTGCCATAGAATACGTCATGCCAAAAGTGGTTACAAATGGTCACAATATACTTTATGTATTGTCCTTTCCGAAGACTAGTGCAGAAAACTATGAGCACATCACGGCAAGATCAACAATTAGGAATTCTCAACAAGTACACCTAGAATATAAAGAACTTCTCGTCAGCAATAACGTTTACGGGATCACAGGCAAATGCAACAACTTAAACAACGCAGCTATATGTGAACAAGAAAATCTCCGTATATTAGATTACAAATTTTGCATAAACCAACTCCTAAAAGGAAAAGACGCAGACGAAAACACAATATTCCTATCAAATTTCAAAGACCTGTTAAAAAACAACAACATAAGCAGATATATGGAAGGTAGTTTCGTCATAGAATACCAAAATGAGAGCATTCAAATCACAGACAGAACGTTCGTGAGCACATCAGTAACAACAAAACAAGTGTTACCTGCCTACTCCAACACAACTTATCCACAAAAGGGATAAAACTGAACCTGGACTACGTGCATGAACTTCAACTTAACAACACACAATTGATGCTTTCCTCAGGAGACCAAATGTCAATCGCATCAGATTTTATCATCGTTATAATCATCAGTATCATCGGTGTCTTCATAACCTTACAAGCAAGG